TTTCGCACATCATCTAAACAATAAAATAAAACAAAAACAAAAAGAAATTTTTCAAAATAGTTTTCATCATTTTTCTTAATTTTTCCAAACTTCTCGTAATTAAATAAAGAAAAGCTAACTTTTCCCAAAAATGTCTATCATCAAAAACTCGAGCAGCTTCTAATGCAATCAAAAATAATTGAAACTAATTTTAAAAGAAAAAAAAAAACACAATTAATTTACATCAATATCTCCACATTCAAGTGGTAATCCAAACCCTTTTTTTTCATCTTGTACAAAATGAAAATATGAAGCACCTAACACGAGTTTTGAAAAGAAATTTGTAAATTTTACTTCATCGTATTTTCTATTAATTAAAACTAATTTAATTTATATTTTGTTGGATCAATATTTAATCGTGGTCGAACTTCTCTATCCAAACAAAAACACTATTTCCTTGAAGTTTTGTTACATAAATAGGTAAATCAAGTGTACAAATAATTTCATGATCACCATTAATAAGTGCGCATAAATAATATCCCTTGATGTTGTGTAAAAAAACAACTGAATCATACTAATAACGATAAGTAATTCATATTATTTGACTATATTGCATATTTAGTTTTGCCTATTCTTACACTTACTGCTGAACGTTTTTGCTGAGCATCATATAAACTAAGATGACCATTTTCACGAATTAATAAAAGACGTGTACCACTATAAAAAATTAATGAAAAACAATTAAAAAAAGAAACAAACGAATTTAAACTACCAACATGATTTTTATCAGGGACAACAAATTGATTTCGAGCAACCCATGTAGCATTTAAATCAGATGAACGACAATCTTCCAGTACTGAAAAAGAAAAATATACATTTAAACTATCAAACAATTTAGATAAGATGTCTGTCTCTTTTTTGAAGTGAAGCATTAATTGTTTTTTTTCTCATATTTGAAGATATCTAATAAGAATAAACCTGACTTTCAAATTTAATATTGATGAAAGAAATCGGAATCGTCATCCATTAAAATTTTTTTCGCTTCGAATAGATCATTCCATCTAGGGTTTGTGTTGAACTTGTTAATTCACCAGCATCTTTTGGAATAGTATAAAGATCATAAATAGAATTATCCGATTGAGATGGTACACGTGGATCACTAACATGTTTTTTTAAATTAAATAAAAACAATTTTTTTAGAAATTCTTAGAACATTCACTTTCGTAATTTCATAAGAGAAACATCTTTTGATGTTGTGATTTCCAATCGTCGTAAATATTTTTCTTTAAACATAATAAACAAGATTTCTAACAACAGCATAAACTGGTCGTTCACGTTTCAATTTAAATATGATCATTTCATTATAATGACCTAAAAAACAAAACGAATATAGCCAGTAGCAAATACATTTAATGTGGGGTGTGGGTGTGGGTGTGGGTGTGGGTGTGGG